ATTTATTAATTTTATTAAGATCGTCGTTAAAATTTAACTGAAATTGTGCCAAATTATTAGTATCTATTCTGCAATAAATTTGAGAATCATCCGCATATTGATGCAATTTAGAAAACTGTAATTCCTTATCCATATCAGCTACATATAACGAAAATAAAAGTGGCCCCAGAATAGATCCTTGAGGAACCCCAGAAATCATAGGAATATAACTAGATTTTTGTTTTAAACTTCCCCGTTTCATGACAACATAATGTGATCTATCTTTCAAAAGGTTTTTTTATCAATTCTAAAGAGCCGTCTGAAAATCCAAAATACTGTAATTTTGCTAGGAGCAATGAATGGTCTAGAGTATCAAATGCTACTACTAAAGTCTAGTAAGCTAAGACACGTCATATTTTTATTTTCTTGATTTGTTCTAATATCATTAACCAGCTTTAGTAAACAAGTGGTAGTGTTGTAGTTCTTACGAAAACCAGATTGGCATTCAGGTATTAGTTTATTTTAATCTACAAATGAAACAATTTGATTATGTAGATGTTTTTCTACAATTTTAGAAATTGCTGGCAAAATACTCACGGGTCTTAGATCGTTGTTCGGGTCTATCCCTGTTCCTCTTGTTGATTTTGGAAGCATCAGTAGACCACGTTATTGTATGTTTTTTTACCTGCTGAGCAAATGTTTTTCTCTCTCAATTCTTTTTATTGTTCAATACTACAGTGAGCTGTTTCTCAAAGTTGTATGATCGCTTCATGAAGTTCAATGATCATTTAAAACGGACAAACAGGGTAACGTAAAATAATATAGCTTATTACGTCATTTCATCGAAACATTCCGTCATTACAGGGAACTACTGAGATTCACAGTCAAACGATATACCAATTGAAGAATTACGCTGTTAGCTGGAAATACGTGAATTCATTAGCCATTTCAGGAAATAAGTAATTACTCTAAATGATACCACATTATGTGCTAATATAATGATATTATTTTTACCACGAAATTCTCTAGGAAAAGGCAAAACAAATTTTTACTCTTCCATCCCATTTATGTAACTATTACATTCTCATATTGTCCCAATCGCAAACGACTAATATCATCATTTCCTCCAGGCGTCCCGTCACCATAAAATACGACTTCCCTTGCCACCATTAAAAAACAACAATACCCGCCGGCTACCCCCTAATAGATCTTGTTGCCCCGTCATCTCGGCCCGTTTTGCTCTCACGCCCCCCTCTAATGACCCCAGGGGCCACGTGACCGGCGACTCTCGATTGTTTCCAATTGAGCGGATTCGGAAAAAGATGCGAGCGCGACTAATCGCGACGCGACGCCGCTCCAAGTCGTAAAAATACGACGCAGGCCGTTGATTGTCGTTTGCATAAAGAGGAAAAAATAGGGGGCATGTGGGTAAATACTGATGATTTGATGAAATAACTTAGAATCCTCATTCTTAAACACCCTCTACACTATGCTCGAAATGTTTTACGAAATATTTCTGAAAATATTGCGTAAAACATTTCTCGGAATACTTTCAGAAGTAAACCCAATACTTTTGTTTATGTTGCGGGGAATTTTGGCTTGCTTCTGCTGCAAACTCCGAAACAGATCGAAATCGACTAAGACAATCATATTGTTTTTTATTATAACTGGAATACAAATATTAATTTTGTGGGATATGTATCAGCATAAAACGAGATGTAATTAACGAAATACCATCTTAACAACAGATAATTCAAAAATGTCTAGATTTATACTTATTTCACTGAGATTTATGAAAAAAAGTCCTTTGTCTCGGGTAGGTATAGAAACCGATGCTTTGTAGCTCGACAAAACGAAATAGAACGAGACAAGAAGAAACCACCGAAAGTCGTCAAAAAAAATCTCTCCACGCCCTTTTCCGCAATTTATCGAGTTGGTTAGAGGCATTTTTAAGAAAGAAGTTTTCAAGTTCTTAAAAACAAGCGGAGAATACGTTTTTAAAAAATGAAAGTAGACCAAGACAAACGGAGATAAGCCGAGACGAGACAAAGTTAGGCGAGGAAATCCGACGTTTATTTTTTTAGGCTTTTATTGATTATTTGTGTTCATCTTTACTTTCTCATGACTTAATAATTTGATGTTATTTTCATTGGAAACTCATTTTTTTGTCGGTTTTACTTTTGAGAACCATTCCTTGTTTGCTGATTGACGAACTCCACAATCGTTAACAAAACTTCTTCAGTTATGAATGTTTTAAGTGTGTTAAACTTCAAACCTTGGTATGAGGACAGTTTTTGTATTATTATTACTTCTCTTTTATTAAACTTCAGAACAGCATAGTTAATTCTTTGGAATAGTGATCAAGGTCTTCTCTGCGGTGCTTTTTTACTTGTGAATTCCAGGCAGAGTACGGTACTCCATTTATTTCATTTAATAAAATTAGTAGGGGTATTTACAAATTTAGCGTTTGATTTACATCCCCTATTCTCCTCGAATTTCCGAAAATATTGCTTCTGTGAAGCGCATTCGAGGTAATCACAATAAAAAATATTTTTTAACACAACGTAGATTCCTTTATTTCATTTAAATTGTTTTTTCTACAGTTAGCCAAAATATTACTCTTCAACTTTTTTGATCGAACATGGGTTGTTATAATACAATATTTATGAATTTATTTAACAACCTTGTAGGTACTACTCGACACCGTCCAATATCAAAAACCGAATTCGTTATCGTCGGGACCTAGATGAAGGACGGCATAAAATCACGTGCTCGCGCGGTTTCCTCAAAAAACACGCTACATGTAATTCTAATTACGCATAATGTAATTCGTCAGGCCACCGCCAGGGCGCAGCCCGAGATGATTTATGCGGTCCGCGCGTAGAACTGTGATGTCCCGTCGTGGCGACCGTCATTTGTCAACGTTCATTATGGTAATGGCCGTCGCTAAGCAGCTCCGTACTGTTTTAATACGGCCCGTAGACGGTTTTTTTCTGGCTTTCGGTATAGGAGCGAGCGACGGTTTTTTTTCTTATAAACTGTACTAATAAGTTTTGGAGAGGTCGTAACGGGAGCGATAGGAAGTTGTAATGAGGGATGCCCACCCATAAAAGAGAATTACGAACCGTGTTTTAGTATTGAACGATATGAATTCGTAATGAGCTATCCGATTTTTCAGTGGAAGGTAAAATTTTTAATATTAATAAAACAGAGAAGGAAGTAAAGTTTTAATTTATAATCTAAACAATTTTGGTCCCTTTGTAAAGGTATTCCTGGAGCTTCTTCAACTAGGTCACACTATGCAAATTCACCTCAAAAATCCATTAGCCATTTTTAGGTCATTGGCAAACAGATTCTCGTTATACATGAAAAATAACAAAACAAAGATTTGTAGATTGTAGAATGAGTGGCCCCCTCCCAGTCATTCTACCACCTGTAAGGTCTGTAAGGTCAATCACCGTGTCCTTACAGATCTATTGTGTCCCACTTCCTTGAATGATAACTCATCATACAGTGCCATAACTCATCCCAGGGCATTGACAAAAGCCAGTGTCTGGCCCGGTTTTACCAGAGGGTCGTTCTCCATCTCCTAGTACCAAAGTTTATGGCACAAATGCTTGTCGTCTCGGCGTACTCAGTGATGAGGTGTTCTGGTGTTTTCAATTCTCCCCACAGAATCTGGGTCACCGTTTTTTCTTAGTTTCAATCTACTATAAAGTGTTTATTAAGGAGATAGCGTCCTGTTAAAAACTCTTACTTAAATCAAGAAAAATCTTTGACTTTTTTTCGGTCGTAAACTTTTAACAACATGAAATTTTTTGCCGTTTTATGATTCCCATTCCATGTATCTAGTCTTCTAAATTCTTAAGTTAGTATTAGTAGTATTCCGCTATTAGTTGGTTTCCACGGGGAAATCAGGTTGATCTCTAGTGGGTCTGGTTAGCGGAGCGTTCGCTCCTTTTCAAGCTAGATTATTTGCTTCATCATTACCTTCTATCCCTTGATGAGTTGGCACCCAGAGTATGTTGACTTTGTTCTCTTTGCCTAATTTGCTGAGCTCCTCTAGACATTTTAGGCATTCTTTGACAAATTTCGAATTGAATGATACTGAGTTGATCGCTTTTAACGCTGCTTGACTATCAGATAAAATTTATGTTTCTTGTTTTCGATAGTTTCTATCTAAGATAAGTTGTACGCATCTTTTGATAGAGTAGATTTCCTCCTGTAGGGTGCTAGAGTTGTTTTTTCCCAGGGTGTTAGCCCATTGGTTTGGAGTATTTAGTTCTCGGTTCTCGATCCCTATTCCTACATTGGTTGTGGAAGCATCAATATAACAAGTTATAGTATGGTTTTTTAACTGCGGAGCAATTGTTTCTCTCTTCTAATTCTTATTATTGAGATATTTCTCAGAGTTGTACATTCTTGGTATGTCATTCGCTGGCAGTGGAGTGGTATTTCCTTTTTGAGGGTTATCCAAGCTTTTGAGCTGACTTCAGTCTTGATTCCGTTAATAGGAATTCTAATCATTGTCGTATTAGCATATATACCGATGACAATGCGCAGTGGTATAAGGTCTAGAATGACCTCCATTGCTGCTGTTGGGCAGGATGACTCAACTTGATTTTCATTTTCTTTTTGAATCTAGACCACAAAATAATCAGAAAAAAGGAAAAAAAGAAAGAAATAAAAAAACAAAACAAATCTATTCATCTCACATTCACATTCTCGCAGTTACGTTTCATAAGAAATGAAATAATTAATTTTACTCTCTCGTTAACTCACCCTGTACACATACCTAACTATAACAATATTCCAAGTAAAAATTAATAAAGATAAAAAATATCAAGATATTTAAATATATTTCATTCATTATATTGAATAGAATGAATAACAAAAAAAAGAACATTAGATAACTATAAATTTGTAAAAAAAAATAATTACTACAACAGACTTTATCTTATCTAAAACGTGATATTTTATTCATTAAATATGTTTATATTTGTCGTGTGATTAGTAATGCTAGACAGTTACAAAACAGAGAACAACATGAAAACATCGCTGTTATTTTTCGCTGTAATATTACTAGCCCAAAATGGGCAGAGTGCCAATATTTTAGGCGTATTTCCCATGGGGGCTAGTAGCCACTACATTCTAGCCTCGAAACTGATGTTGGGATTGGCTGAAGCTGGGCACAATATCACTTTTATTAGTCCATATGAGTTCAAAACTCAACCGAAGAAAGGTTCGATAACAAATTTGGTGTTGGAAGGTGCAGGAGATGAGTTTCAAAGTAAGTTGTGATATATTGATATATATTTTCTTTATATTTTAGATAAGCATTTTTAAGATTTAAGTTTTTTGTGGTAAAATATCTTAAAAATAGGATATTTATGTTATTTTAGTATTTTATCTGCAAAGAAAAACTATTGCATTTAAACTGAGAAATGTTAAATAAAGCAATATACAGGGTGAGTTTTCTACGATGTTCTCTATGGGTATCTCGGAAACTACTGGAGATAGAGAGTCGGTTAAATGGGGAAAGAATTGCAGTTTTGTGAGATCAAAAATATGCGCTTTCCGGATTTTTGAAAAAGTTTATGGCTTACTAGAGCAAAAAGCTTTGCTCTCTGGTTCCCACCCGGGAGGCTAGAGTTCAAATCCCGCTGGGTTATTCTATTTTTTATTTTATTTTTGATTTTGTTTTATTTTGTGTTCCTGTTTGTTCTTTATTGACAAATATTTGCCGGTCATTTCAGCCTCGCCTCAGTGTTGTTTTAATTGTAAAATGTGAACGTGTATTTGGATTAATTTTAATTGTATTTGTAAGTTATGACGACCTTTTTATTATTTGTTATTTATTTAGGTTCTTTCTTGTTAGGTCTGATGATGCTCGTATATGAGCGAAACACGTGTAACAGTTTAACATTGTATAAACGTTGAGACCGAGACTTTGAGTCTTTTTTCTACCTTTTTTAATTTGAACCAGGTCTCTTTGAGAAAAATGGATGCCTTTTTTAAATTTTTTTCTTTGTTAGGCAAATTTTTATTACTGTAAACATAACTTCTGACGAGCAGCGTCCGTTTAGGTTTAACGCAGAAGTGTTTACAAAAAATAACTATTTTATTTTGTAGATTTTTCTTGCAGTGCAGTGGCGAAATACCCATAAAGGATTTTTTTGGAGATATTGACTTATATAATAATCGTATAATATTGATTTATGACTCTAGAATAACCGAATATACCTTATGATCAAATAAAAATGGCATCAGCGATGGCTATGAAATGACGATCGATGACATTTCCCATATAATTTTACATATAAAGTGACAGCGATCTTCATTTCATAGCCATCGCTGACGCCGTTTTTATTCGATCATACGGTATTTAAAGAACATAAAATTAAAAGAGCATTAAAGTTTGATCGAATTTCGTTTTTTTTCAGAGGTACTCAAAGCATCAAACTTGTTCGAGCAAAACAAACAAAACAGCTTGTTAGGCGTGATCGACATGAATAGCAAGTTCTTACGTTCCGTAAATAACACTTTAAATGACAAAAAAGTCAACGAACTCTTAAAATCCGACCAGAAATTTGATGCTGTCATCATGGAACAATTCTCTAATGACGCCTTAAAAGTATTTGCTTATTTATATGACTGCCCTTTGATTATACTGAATAGTGTTGGACCTAATAACTTAATCAACCCTACAGTTGGCAACCCTGAGGAAATATCCTACATCCCTAATATGCTGGTTAAAGCTAGCCATAACAAAGTGATGACTTTCTTTGAAAGAATCAAAAATCTGCTCGTTCATGTTATCTCCGTTCAAATGAACAACTATATCTTTTTTCCACAACAAAACGAAGTGCTTCATCGTAGATTCCCAGATGCTCCAGAAGTAACAGATCTGTATCTTAATGCTTCCTTGGTGCTTCTAAACTCGCATTCAAGCGTGTCTCCTGCACAACCTCTCGTACCAAACATGGTAGAGATTGGAGGATACTTCATTGACCCCCCTAAGAAGTTACCGAAAGATTTGCAAGAGTTTTTGGATAATGCTAAGGATGGTGCGATCTATTTTAGCATGGGTTCGAATTTGAGGAGTAAAGATATTACTGCGGAGAGGAAGAAGATTATTTTGAAGGTTTTGGGTGAATTGAAGCAGAAAGTTATTTGGAAATTCGAGGAAGAGTTGCCTGGAAAGCCTGATAATATACTTATAAAAAGTTGGTTGCCTCAACAAGACATTTTAGGTAAGTTTCAACTAGTTTCAACGTTCGTTAGGTTAGCATTATCATTAATATTGGCTTGAGAATGGTAAACAATGATAAAATATGAAACAAAATATCTTTTTAGGATGTTATTATCTAGTTTTGAAAATTGACATAGGGTTTTGGTTAGTTGTATCACTGACTGATATTAAGTGTGAAATAATTTAAATCCAAAACTAATAAGGCTATACAGGGTGTCCCAATGTTTCGTGGACATAGAACTACTATGTATTTCTGGAATCAAAATAAGTTCATTGGACAAAATTTACCTCTATACAAAAGTGCTTCGTTTGCCCTCTAGCACCAAACTTTAAATAAATAATCACATTGTTTCATATATTTTAAAAAAACACTATTCTGATTTAAATGAGGTTTTGGGTGTCTATGTTTTGCAAAGTGCTCTAACATTTGACTTACGCAATAATCAAGAAAAAGTATGGAAAGGGTGAAAACTACCCCCACCCAACATAAATTTTAGTATAAATATTTTCCAACCCTACGCGACGGCCGATTTTCTTTTTGTAAAATTTTCTCTTGTATTTATTACATTTTTTGTCTCTTGTAAAGAACGCTACTGTGCATACTTTTTGAGGAAAAAAACTATTTTTCCAAAGCTGACTTCTAAAAAAATGTTTTTGTCACATCAAGCTATGGTAAATGGAAGGATATGAATTATATTTGACAAAAGCTTCAGAAAAAGCTTTAAAAATAGTAATTTTTAAATGAATTAACATTCGGGTGTATTTTCGATTGATGCTCTCTAACGGACAAAGGAAGCACTTTTGTATAAAGATAAATTATGTACAATTAACGGATTTTGATCCAAAAATACGGAGTTGTTCTATGTCCACGGAATATTGGAACTCCCTGTATATTTTATAGGTCTGCCATGGAAAAAAATTCTCTAAAAACTATGCGATGTGGCGTTTTTTACAAGAGGCAAAAAATGTAGTAAATACTAGAGGAACCACAAAATCTATTTAAAAAGTTCAAAAGTCTTGCAGCAAGGCTGTGATCAAGCCTCGACCCTACAAGGCTAAGGCCAAAAGTACATATTAGACTAAAAGACAAAGACGAGAGTCTTTGTCTTGTATTTGCTCATCACTATCAGTCTCTTTAAAATAAATCTTACTAACATATTTTGCAATATTAAAAACCTTATTCATTTTTATTATTTCAGCACATCCAAATATTAAACTCTTTGTAACGCACGGAGGACTTTTAAGTATAACCGAAACAATCTACCATGGAGTACCCATTCTTGCCATTCCAATCTTCGGCGACCAGCCCATGAATGCTGAAATAGCCCAATCCGCTGGGTATGGTCTAAAACTGTCCTACACAGAAAAAGACTTCACAGAAGAGAAATTTAGCCATGCCCTTGACGAAATCCTTTATAATCCCAAGTACAGGGATACAGCTCAAAAGATTTCGAAGCTTTTCCACGACAGACCAATGAAACCTATGGATACTGCAGTTTATTGGGTGGATTATGTTATAAGAAATAAAGGTGCGGGACATTTGAGGGTAGGGAGCATACACCAGAAGTGGTATCAGTATCATTTGGTGGACATGATATTATTTTTATTGCTCTCATTAATAGTATTTGTAAACATAGTTAAGTTTGTATTAGTGAAGGTATTTAAGGCTGTTAGAGATAGAATTATAGGAAAAACTAAAGTAAAAGCTCAGTAGATAATATGACGTTTAAATTTTTAAAAACTTCACTACATGAGATATTTGCTTACAAACGTAATTCCTTATTTGATATATCTGTGTATCCTATACAATACCAAGTATAGGGATACAGCACAAATACTTTCGAAACTTTTCCTTGCCAGACCAATGAAACCTATGAATACTGCTGTTTGTATGTGGATTATGTTATAAGAAACAAAGGTGCCAGAGGGTAGGGAACATACACCAGAAATGATATCAGTATCATTTGACGGATGTGAAAAATAGTTAAGTTTGTAGCAGTTGAGGTATTTAAGGCTGTTAGAAATAAGATTATAGGACAAACTAAAGAAAATGTTCATTAGATAACTTTTAACACTTTTAAATTCTTGAAAAATTGCACTAGGACCTTGAGACATGACCTTGCTATTTATTTACAAACTATTTCCTTTATTCAAGATAATCTATATATAAATTAATGTGAAACTTTGTATTTAGACAATATAATGATAATTCTTATCAATAAACAAATTTGCACAGATTGTGTTAAATCAATTAAATAAATTATATTAATTGATAGGTGATTAGATATTTTATTATTTTGTTTAGGTTATTTTGTAGATACAGATCATTTTATCGACTTGAATATACAGGGTGTTTCCGACACACAAAAAACAATCACAACCTAACCTAACGGGAGAGAGAGTTATGGATTCGTCTCCATCCAGACTAAATAAAAAAAATCTCCACTAAAGGCCAAGCGAGAACTGACCTAAGGCTTAAAATTTAAGTAGTTTTCAGAATGATCTGTGATTTAAATCTTTATTCCGAAATAGAAAAAGACTTAAATTATTAAAAAAAGACTTAAAACATTATAAAATATTTAAATTTTTTATAAAAATGTATGAAATTTTATGAGAAATTTTTAAATGCATTTCCTGTTGAACTGTCGGGCCGGCATCCAGGCAGCAGATAATAACACCAATACTGCAGCACTTAGCACAACTTACTTCAGCACTTAGCTTAAATTATGCCATAGATATATTGCATAGTGACCAAAACCTATCACCACTTTTTCGTAGAATTGTATTCGATGACATCTAAACTTTAAGAGGACTGAAAAAAAACACTGGATAGGTAAATACTACCAAATCTCATAAAAGTTGTTATGTTCCGCTTGGGGCTCATATTTTTAGTGATTGTTTATTTGTGAACAATTTTTAAAATAAACCATTTTCCTTCATGGGGTCTGATCTGTACCTACTATAAATTAATAATATAGGTAATAAGAAAATTGACAATTGGTTATAAAAGAAAATTTATATTAACATTTAAAAAATGGTACTTAAATTGAACTCTGGCTGTCTTGACTTGACTGTAATTATTTTGGTTTAGGTCATTTTGCCGACTAAACTCGCAGATCATAATGTTTTAAATAAAAAATAGAAAATAAAGCCATAAAACGACCTAAATCACATTATATTGATTTTATATTTCAGTCTTGCGGGAATGACTTGACTTAAAAATGAAAACGATTTAAATCAAAGACTTAAGATTTAAATCATTCGAACTTTATGTTGAAATTAACTTAGCACTTAATTATTTTTGATTTTACATATGACTTAATTAGGGACGGATTAAGACAGGATTAGGACTATAGATAGTGGATCCCCTATCTCCAGTACTGTTTAGTGTAGTATTAGAAAAAGTTATAAAAGATGGGAGAATCAACAGAGAGGGCCTTCTGTAAACAAAAAGACGCCAATGCTTAGCCTTTGCAGATGATATAGTTATCTTAGCAAGATATCGGAAGGAGCTGATATAGGTGACCAAAAGACTAGAAGATCAAGCGCAAAAAGTAAGGTATTTTGAGAAGGGAAGGTGTCTACAAATAGATTCTGAGGGAGGGAAACGATACAAGTTTTAGGAAGTAGATACATTCACATATCAAGGAGCCGTATTACTAAGGAAACCAAATGTAACTCAAGAAATTATGGCAAGAATAACGGCAGAAAATAGATGTGTTAGCGCACTACAGAAAATTATTAAAAGTAAGAACATCTCTAGAAGTTTAAAAATCAGAATGTACCAAACAATGTTACGACCAATAGTGCTGTATGCATGTGAAACGTGGACGTTCAATGCAACGGTTTGAGGCTAGAGATTTGGGAAAGAAAAATACTGAGAAAGATTTTTGGAGAAAGAAGAACGACAACATATGGACCAGAAGAACAAATAATGAAGAATTAAAGCAACTATATCAGGCACCGAGTATAACGGAACTAGCAAGAGCACAAAAAAGCTTTAAATTGAAACAGTCTTTGAAAACATTGAAAGAATGGCTGAAGCAAAAATTCCTACTATGATAATGAAACGTGATATAGGTGGAAAGAAAAGGAGGGGTAGACCGAGAACCAGATGGAAAAAGGATATTGAAGAGGACTTGAGAAGGATAAGACTGGATGGGTGGAGAATAAAGGAAAAAACAGAAACAAATGGAGAAAGGTAACCAATTAATCCATGAGCCTTTTAGGCTTTTAGATCTATTATATTATATATAAATATGACTTAAGAGTGAAGATTTAAATCTTTTTGAAACTGACTTGTTGCAGCTCCGTGTGGTAGAAGTAGTAATCTTGTTTTTACATAGTCAACATTTTCAATATTTTTTGATGTCAGATATGCTCTTATAACCCTAAAGTACTAACACCCCGTCTCACAGACGCAACGGACTAGCTGGACATATGACATTTCCCCTCCTCCCCTCTTATAATTATCATCCAACTATGTAATTTCAATACGCATCAAAACAAGTTAAAGGCCGGCAGGGCAATTTGCGAAAGTGTGTAGTTTTCAAGGCAAAATCCAATACGTAACCAAATTGATTATATATTAGCTCCAAAACGATACAGAAATGGAGTACTTAGTGCAAAGACTTACCCAGGAGCGGATGTTGGGTCAGACCATAATCTCGTTGTGGCACGAATCCGAAGGAGGCTCAAAAAAATTGTTCAGAAGTTCACTAAAAAACCCAACATGAGTTTACTGAGAAGTGAGGCACAACGACAAGACGTGTCCAACAAACTCAACGAGCAACTAGGAAAGATCCAACAGCCAAATGCCTCTCAAACCCCTGGATTGGAAGACCACAATAACATAGAGAATATCTGGAAGAAAATTAAAGAAGCGCTGCAGGAAACACAAGAACAACTAATAACAAATAATAACGAGAAGCACCATAAAGCGTGGATGACTCAAGAAATTTTAGACTTCATGGAAAAGCGGCGAAGTTTTAAAGGCACAGACCCTCAGAGATATAGAGACACTCACAGGCTTATCCGAAATAAAATCAAAGAAGCGAAAGAACTGTGGATGACGGAGAGGTACCGCGAAGTCGAGGAGCTCCACCAAAAACATGACTTGTTTAACCTACATAAAAAAGTCAAAGAAGTCACTGGGAAACACAAATCTCGAACATGTATCAGAATCGTGGACGGTGAGAATAAACCAATCCTAACCGAACAAAAACTAGAGGAGGTATGGACCAATTACATAAGGGTTCGATGACGGTGGCCCCTCTTTTCACTCCCAAATAGAAACTGAAAATGGTCCAGATATAATGATCTCAGAAATCGAGAGAGCTTTAAAGAACACCAAAAACGGGAAAGCAGCTGGACCGGACAACATCTACCCAGAATTGATAAAACTAATAAACGGAGACAATTTAAAGTTATTGGTAAACCTCTTCAATTCTGTAACAATACCGGAAACATACCGCAGGACTGGCTAAGGTCGACATTTATACCTATTCCTAAAAAAACTGGTGCAAAAAGATGTGATGAGTTTCGTTTAATAAGTCTGATGAGTCAAGTCCTAAAGCTGTTTTTAAAGGTTCTGCATAATCGAATCCGAAGAAAATGTGAGCTAGACATAAGTGAACAGCAAATGGGATTTCGCGAGGGACTGGGGACGAGAGAAGCCCTGTTTGCGCTATCGGTGCTTTTGCAGAAGTGCAGAGATCAACGAAAGGAGGTACACCTATGCTTCATAGACTACACGAAGGCATTCGACTGCGTCAACCACAGGGAATTGCTGAGCATCCTTGAAAGAAGAGGCCTGGATACCCAAGACCTGAAAATTATCCAAAAGCTATACGAACAACAAGTAGCGACAGTAAAACTACAGGACACTGAAACAACAGCAATACCTATCAAGCGTGGAGTTAGGCAAGGATGCGTATTGAGCCCTATGCTCTTCAATATGTACTCCGAACTAATATTTCGAAATGCGCTTGAGGGATCAGAAGACGGCATAAAAGTGAATGGCAGGCTGATTAACAACATGAGATATGCTGATGATACCGTCGTTATTGCAGACACCACTGAGGGCCTGCAAAGACTTCTTGATAGACTGTCCTCGGTGGGCGACTCAATGGGTCTCAGGATAAATACAAACAAAACAAAAGTCATGGTGATAAATAGAGATGCAAGACAGGCAACGGAGGTAGTCGTAGGTGGGACACCAATAGCAAGAGTCTCAAAGTTTAGATATTTGGGCAGTTGGATTAGTGAAGACCTAAACCCAGACATTGAGATCAGAGCTCGAATTGAGATGGCTAGATCAAACTTCCTAAAATTGCGGAACCTACTGTGCGATAAACGTCTCAACATCCATATAAAAGACAACTTCGTCAAGTGCTACGTACTTTCCACACTTCTCTACGGGGTTGAGTCGTGGACACTCAAAGTAAGCGCAATGAATAAGTTGGAAGCATTTGAGATGTGGGTATATCGCAGAATGCTGAGAATACCATGGACTGACCGTGTCTCGAATGAACGAGTTCTAAACCAAATGAACAAGGACCGAGAACTCCTCGACATAATAAAAAAGAGGAAAGCAGCCTATTTGGGCCATATCATGAGACATAGCAAGTATGAATTCCTTCAGCTCATCATCGAGGGTAAAATTGAGGGAAAGCGCGGACCCGGACGACGGCAATGCTCCTGGCTGGAGAACAATAGAGA